TCCTGGAGAACGTCTTCGTGAGCCTCTCATGATTTCGGGATAGTTGAAACCCTCTTGAACACTCAGAAAGAGTGCATATGAAATTCTAATCACGAAAGGTGTTCTGCGAGGGGATACATACCTAGAGTTTGTTTTGTGAAGCACGTCAATTCTCTCCTGGGGAACGTCTTCGTGAGCCTCTTATGGTTTCAGGATAGTTCAAAACCTATGATGCCCCGATTCAATGCTAACCAATGATCTGAGCCATGGGGCAAGTTTGTTCTCGAAAGCATTGCGAAGGGTTCTTCCGGAAAATCTCTTGAACACTGACACTTCTACACTTACACTTACACACTGACACTTCCACACTTGCACTTGAACACTGACATTTCTACACGTACAGTTGGGCACTTACGCTTCCACACTTACACTTGAACACTGACACTTCTATACGTAGCCCAGTGTAAGTGAAAGAGTGAAAGCATCCAACGGCAAGTGTCCAAGTGCAAAAGTAAAACTTGCACGGGAGATGTCCTAATGAGTACGCAAGTGTGAGTATGGAAAACTTGCACGGGAGATGTCCTAATGATAACTTGCACGGGAGATGTCCTAATGAAAAACAATTCCCCATTTTATAAATTCTCTCTTAAAGGTGGAGGGTGGGACGAACAGCGTCCTCTGCGGAGATCGTGCGTGTCGAGTGCGCGAAATGCAGGCGAGAGTGCGATTGGTCCGGTGTGCGCGCAACCCTCTGCGGAGATCGTGCGTGTCGAGTGCGCGAAATGCAGGCGAGAGTGCGATTTGTCCGGTGTGCACGCAACCCTCCGCGGAGATCGTGCGTGTCAAGTGCGCGCAATGCAGGCGAGAGTGCGATTTGTCCTGCACGCGGGCAACCCTCTCCAGAGATCGTGCGTGTCGAGTGCGCGAAATGCAGGCGAGAGTGCGATTTGTCCCATCCCGGCGCAACCCTCTGCGGAGATCGTGCGTGTTGAGTGCCCGAAATGCAGGCGAGAGTGCGATCTGTCCGGTGTGCGCGCAACCCTCTGCGGAGATCGT